ATGTGGGGCTCCAGTAATACTTTCGGTAGAGGTAAAATAATTAAAAATATCATAATCAATTCCAACCTTAATTTTCTAAACACTGGAAGCAGCACATACTTTCATATCCAAACAGGTACTCTCTCTTCCATTGATTTAAGCATATGTAATCCAGAATTATCTACTCATTTTACATGGAAAACGCTGGAAAGTCTCTATGGAAGTAACCATTTTCCCATTTTAATTTCTAACAATGATAACTCACAAAGACAAAGCAAAACTAAGTGGAAAATTGCTCACGCTGACTGGGATCTATTTAATTTACTTGTCAAGGAACAAACAGATAAAATCTCCTTTACGAATTCCGCTAATGAAGATCTTAACATGTTGATTAATTGTATTATAAGTTCCGCCGAAAAATGCATCGGTAAATACCACTTTGATCCCTCCAAAAAATATGTTCCGTGGTGGAATGAATCGTGTAAACTAGCTGTAAAAGATTGTAAAAAAGCATTAAACCGATATCGTAAAACTAGAAACCAAGCGGATCTAATAAATTTTAGAAAAATAAGAGCTAAATCTAAGCGAATTGTGAAAGAAAGCAAAAAGAACTCATGGAAGAAATACATCAGTAGCATAACTTCCGATACACCTTCTAGTCAAATATGGACTAAAATAAAACAGATGAAAGGTAGATACACAACATACAAAATTCCAGCCCTAATAGAAGATAACAATGTCATAACTGATGACCAGCAGATTGTAAACACACTTGCCAAATACTATTTGAATAAAACTAAATATGATAACAACTGTACTGGACAAATAAATGTGTTGTACATGAGAATCCAAATTCCAATGATCATCCTGTCAATCTCCCACTAACAATCGATGAATTAGTCGAAGCTGTTAATTCCCTAAAGAACAGTGCTGCAGGGCCGGATGACATTCCATCGATATTTCTAAAACATCTACATGAAGATACACTATTAAAGTTACTAGAATTCTACAACAACATATGGCTAGGTAACCAATTTCCATCACTTTGGCGACAAGCTATAACAATTCCACTCAAGAAAAATGACACTTCTGACAATACAACTATGTCATTTAGACCCATCTCATTAACTTGCACACTTTGCAAACTCATGGAAAAAATTGTTAACAAACGCTTACTCTGGTATCTTGAAAAACATAATATTATCAATACTCAATCAGGATTTCGTCCAAATCGTTGCACGATAGATAATCTTATCACTCTTCAATCCGATATCATAGAAGCATTCTCTAATAGAAACAACCTTATAACTGTCTCACTCGATATAGAAAGTGCTTTCGACACAGCATCAAGGCCGGCAATTCTAGAAAAACTTAAAGAGTCTAATTTATCTGGAAACATATATATGTTTGTTGAAAATTTTTTAACTAACAGAAGTTTCAAAGTCTCTGCAAATGGTAAAATGTCTCACTCGTATATCCTGGAGACAGGAGTACCCCAAGGATCAGTCCTCAGCACAACCTTATTTTTACTGCTTCTTAACGACCTTAGTTCCTTAGTACAACCCCCTGTCAAACATAATATCTATGCGGATGATCTAGTTATTTACTGTTCGGGTAAAGTAACAAGCTCCACTAGCACTCTTTTGCAAAATACTATTGATAGCATTTCTCACTGGTCGAACAAAATTGGTTTCAGCTTCTCGCCTACAAAGGCTAAAGTGATTAACTTTAGCAAAAAATATAAACAAACTCTTCCACTAATAAAATTAAAAGAGCATCCACTACAAGTAGTTGAAAATCACAAATTTTTAGGGGTAATTTTCGACAAAAAGTTAACATGGAAGAGACATAATAGAACAAACTAAAGCCAGTGCCTTAAAAAATATAAATCTCTTAAAATCACTAGCCAATCGACAATGGGGAGCCGAAGAAGAAGTCCTATTAAGTTTATACATAGCCCTAATAAGATCTAAGTTAGACTACGGATCTATATTATATATGTCTGCCCCTAAAACTTATTTAAAATCACTAGATACAATTCAAAACACTTTATTAAGAATATGTCTTGGAGCCTTCAGATCTAGCCCGACAGAAAGCATATATGTCGAATCGTGTGAACCCCCTCTAAATATTAGAAGACAACGTCTAATAAACTCCTATTTTGCTAAGGTTTCTGCAAACCCTAATAATATATCTTTCCAACTTATTAAAAATTTTCAATTAACAAGAGCACACAGTAGAGCTACTGCCAATTCATCACTACAATTTCTATTGCCACTCTTAGAAAATATTGACCTAAATCTCACCACCCCCATTATTCAGCCCAATACTCCACCTTGGCTAAAAATATTACCTAACTTTAACGTAAATTTGTGCATATATAAGAAAATGGAAACCCCCACGATACTCATGAAATAAACTTTTAACGACATAATTAATAGAGGCAAGTTTGATAACATAATATTCACAGATGCATCTAAAGACGAAGAAAGTGTCGGATGTGCTGTTACTTCCACAAATAACATACTAGCAATGTATAGACTACCCAAGATGACCAGTATATTCACAGCAGAACTTTACGCTATACTTAAAGCTCTAGAGGTTCCAATGCAGGGTACCAAAAACTTAGCAATCTGCACAGATTCATTATCATCCATAAATTCAATTAGACAAATCTACACATCAAATCCTTTAGTTAATGAGATCCACGAAAGATGTACAGCACTTGCTAAATCAAACACTTCGGTTTCGATGATATGGAATCCTTTACATGTTGGTATTAAAGGAAATGAGAATGCTGACCATGCAGCAAATGAAGCACGTCGCTCTGACCTTACAGATGAAAAAGTCCAAATGTTTCAAGACATAATAATTGAAATCAAAAAGTTATCTACCTCAATGTGGCAAAATCAATGGAACAGGTGCACTACCCAACTAAAGTCTATCCAACCAAACATTTTAGGCCCTAGAATTGTTACAATGGAAAGAAAATCGAAGACCATCATTAGAAGGCTCAGAATTGGGCACACCCGGCTAACCCACGGATATCTGATGGTTCCCGAAGAACCTCCAAACTGCCAATATTGCAACTCCCGTTTAAGTGTACACCACATACTTGTGAAATGTAACCAGTACGCAGCAGCACGGATCAAACATGGTATCCACGGAAGTTTATGTGACATTTTAAAATCTAAAAACAATATGTGTAATGTGATAGAGTTCCTTAAAAACTGTAAATTATATCACCTGTTGTAATTGTATCATCTATCTATATTTCAATTTTGTAACCATCTTTTTTTTTGATATCATCTGTATTGAAATTTATTGAATTAATGTAACTTTATTGTTATTCTGTAATACAGTTCCTCGTGTTAATGGCCGCAGCAGCCGAAACATGTAATTTGAAATAAAAAAAAATAGTGCGCGAATTGCCAGTTCTTTATTTAGCCTAAGATATTCCAATAGACCAATTCAAAGTCATTTAACAATTCAAAGGATTTTACAAAATGTTGTAACTGATGGAACCGTGATTTCTAATTGTACCTGTACAAACAATATGGCTGAGGTACCAAAAAATTTAGAAAAAGAAAATGAAATACCTAAATATAGAGTTTGTAGAAATGCAGCAGTTGTAGAAAATCCTAGAATAAGTTCTCGGATCATTGCAGATCAGTTAAATACTCATAATTCTACGGCGTTAAAAATTTTGAATAGGAATAAATTCCGTTCATACGAACTGAATACAATTCATCAATTTTATTGCTTTGTAAAGAACACTACATTTGTAAAAATTTGCGTATTTTAGTATTTGTGTATATTTTAATCACAAAATAAAAATATTGACAATTATAATATTGTCAAATATCAGAATCATCAATATGACCAAACGCAATATGTCAGTCCTCTACAAATAATTTCTTATGACTTTTGATGTAAAATAATTAGGGAAGCAGGAATTCAACAATTTAGAATTTCTGTTAGGCGATTCACCACCCGGTATAAAATAATATAATAGTAATATAAAAATGTTAACGTTTCTTTAATAAACCTTATAAACGAAGTCTTAAAGAATCGACTGCTATTTATAAAATACCTCTAGTGACTGTTTGGACAAGCACAGTTGTTTAAATACTTGCTTTTCGGTATAAACAAATTTAATAACTATATGAACTCTTTGGTTGATCTCTTTGACATTTGGGTCAAATTTTAATAATTTATTAATTGCCAATTTTAAGAAGGTATATTACATGTTTGTCTTTGTGCAAAAAGGTAATAACAAAGTTAATAACATTATAATTTACTACCAAAAAAAAGTATTTTTTATAATCATCTCCGTCTTCTGATTATGGATTTTATTTTGGATACTCTTAAAATAAAGATTTTTTTATGATCTAAACTGAACTTTTAATAGACAAAAAAATTTCGTTTTTTTTATTTTTTAAGATTATTAAAAAAAATCAAATCGGTTGTACGTATTTACATATTTTTCATCAGCTACCCCTTATTCAGCTGATGGAACCTTCAAAGAGGTATAAGTATAAGATTGTTTCAGCTTTTTTCATCATTGACTGGGGTAATTCGTGGTAAATAAAATACACATTAATCCATTATGGTAAAAACTAAGAAATGAAAGTTACTAAGACGAGTAGCTATACAATACTAGACGAAAAAGTAGAAAATTAATAATAGTGTGGTATGTTGTGATCGATAATAAACTGGTGCTTCAAGTATCTAATGTAGCTAAACTACTGCAATTAGATTTAGAATAAACTTGTTACCTTTCGGAAAAATAGGAGCAATCTAAAGATCGTTTATATATTCTACTAAAAACATAAAATATGTGTGTTCTATTTAACTATAAGATTTAGAATTAAAAAGCATAAAGTAAGTTACAAAAATATTTATGTTTAGTTTACTATTTTTAACTCCGATACAATTCGAATATGTACTTAACTATTTACTAACCATACACATTCAATTAGAAAACAAAGCATAAGTATATAGAAAATATGCATACTTACTGACAATTTTATCGTTGCACGACTAATAACTCTAAACACTTAATAATTCAATCATTAAAAATCAGTGAAAGTCATATCGATATAAAGGTTGACCAAGACTGAATAAGTGAGTATTGTTTTCCGAGCAAGATTATATACTCTTGAAATTTATTTAACAATTGACATGCTTTCACGCATTTATAAATGTGTCTGTTGGTGTGAAAAATCAAGTAAAACCGGCTTTTGACTGGCGACAAACAAAAGGGGAATGACTTATTTAAAAATAATAACTGTTAATTGCTTTGAGAAAGACAAAATGGCGTAGGCGTACATAACAGCATATTGATTATTAATAAAACTTAGTATAAAAATATTTTTTATTGGTTATAATTTATTTTTTGATTGGTACCCTAATAAAAATATTTCTTCAAATACTACTTAAAATAATGTCAACGTCAATAACCAGTGACGTATTTCAATATCAACATCAAGTATCTAAGATATTTTATCTCTTTTATCTATAATGAAGAATTACAATATTTTGAATTAAATCTAGCTTGTTAAACACATATGTTTAAATAATTAAAAAAGACTATTTGAAAACATGGAAGCTCAGATTTTTAATGACATTGAATGACAACATTTGGAATTTTTATGAAGAAGTTAAAATGAACTATATATATAATATAAATATATTTAAGGTAAGTTGGGGCAAGTGCGAACGAAAAAATTCATAGTTAATATTCATTTAACTACAAAAATTGCCTTTTTCAAATTAAGATTTTTTTAAACTTCTGTCGTATAATTGTGATTATTAACCGACCAATTAAAACTATTTAGATAACAAAAATACATTACCTAGCAAATTTGCCTATACTTTTTTTTCGCAAGTACATGTTACGCACTTGCTCCACTGATCCGGGGTAAGAGCAGAATGTGCCATTATTTTTGCTAATAATAATAAGTGTTGCATACGGGGCTAGTGCAGAAATCCTACATATATGTAATTTTTATTCTTTATGCTTAACTTTAATAAAATATTAAGAAAAAAATGCTTCGAAATATTTTTTAGGATGAAGTCAAAACAATTTCAGATATTTTGACTGAAAAATATTTATTTAAAATAAAAACATAAACTAAACGTACCAGAAAAAATAAATCCTGTTAACAGTAACAAAAAATAATAATAATTGGAAAAAATACTTATACTATGCTTCAAACACTTCAGGTGCAGTCTCAAAAATATACTTTTCGTAATCAGCAGTTATTGATATTTTTGGAACAGGTAGTTTTGTTTCTATGTCCGACAGTAGATGTTTTGTTTCTATGTCCACTTATTTGTGAGCCTTTTTAAGCCTGTTACTTCGGCTTTATCACCATTGATCAGTTGTTTCACCAAACAAACATATTTGAACATTTTCTTTTTTCCAGGAAAATTTACTAATACAAAATCCCCAATTTGTATTTTGATAAATGTAAGTTTGTCAGTAGGGTTTTTTTCATCAAACTCTTCCAAATCACTTTTGCTTAGCTCGTCAAATTGAACAATTCTGTTTTCGCTTGAATCACTGTACCGAGAACTATTATCATTTTCGGAACTGCTTTCAGCAATTTTTTTTTGTAAATCTTTTTAATTTTTTTTTCTGGTTTATATTTTTTTGTTGTATTTGAACTTAAAATTTTTTCAACATCGGCTCTTGTTATCACCTCTGCACCCAAGCACACGCGTTTTCTTTTCTTCGAATTAGAATTTCTTTCACGTTTGGTTGACCTTAATAACAACTCTTCGAATGAAACATCCAGAATCTTCTCAGTTTCTTGAAATGTTTGTATATCTGTCGAGCTGGAAGTTGACTGTGCTTCGACTGTGATTGGATTTTCATTATTTTTTGCTGATGTACTAGGCAAAGTTAAGTCAGGACCATCAAACCTAGCCACGTTACGGGTTTTTTGCCAACGTTGGAGAGCAACTCGATCAAATAAATCTTGCTGAATAATATTCCTATTCAGCGGAACTATTCCTGCTTAAATGAAACCACTCACTAATATTTCGGGCCTGGTTTCCTGCCATATTTCTCCTATCATCTTGGAAAACATACTTTTTGTTACAGCGGCCCCCACATTTCTTCTCTGCCATTCAACAAGTTTAGCATCCCAACGGGTCTTCAGTGATTTAAATACACACAAATCTAAGGGCTGGAGTACATGACTGGTGTGAGGAGGGAGCTTAAGTATCGTAATATGGTTTTCAACAGCTATATTTATGACATCTGCTCCAAGATCACTCGCGTGTCCATCGTAAATTACTAATACCGGTCGTTCTGAACCAATAAACTTTAAAAAACTGTTTTCACAATAGTTTCTAAATACAGTTGTCTTCATCCACCCTTTAGGAGTGGCAGCGTAGGTAGTATCTAAAAACTCCGTGCCGTGCGGAGCAGTCCACTGGTCCCAAACATGTTTACCTTTGAAGACAATAAGCGGAGGTGCTTTTTTGCCACTTGCGCTGCAGCACATAAGAACAGTTGTATTTTGTTTGCCAGGCCCACTAATAGTTCTTGTGGATGGAGCTCCCCTTTGTCCGACAATTTTTGTTTTTGACGGATCTGTGCAAAAACTGCTTTCATCCAAGTTCCAAATTTGCGACGGGCGTTCTTGTAAAACAAGTTCTTCTATAACGTTTTCAAGTAAATCAAAATAGTTGTAGATCAGGAATGGGTCAAGGTTTTTTTTTCTAGCAAATTCAACACTCTGGGGTTTTTTTAATAGAGAGGTTATGTCTACGCTTGAAATTAAGAGACCAATCTACTCCTGGTTTACCATCTTTAAACTGTGTCTTAATGTTATTCTCTTTGACGAAGTCAGCTACAACCTGCAACACTTCTTTTCTAGAAAGGCCAAAACCCCATTTTTTCATAGTACGAAGGCCATTTGCTAGTTTTTCTTCTTCCTGTTAAGGAATGTCCTGAGTTCTTCCATATCTGGAACTTTTTGTCCTCTTCTACCTTTAAGGTGATCATGGAGAGTACTTCTTGGAATTGTGTACACTTTAGTAGCTCGGTATAAAGTCATTTGCCCAGATTTAATTGCTGACAGTGCAATTTTTAAACTCTCTTTCGTATATCCTTTGCCCGTGCTACTTCTGCGAATGTAATTTCTCACCATGGTGGAACTAAAAGCATAAAGAAAAACTGTGTGAGATTTTGGGCAAGTGCGTAATATGTGCCGCTCTTACCCCACAATTTTATCCGCACTAGCCCCGACTTTAAAAATACGTGAGGCAAGAGCGGCACAACAATATAAACTGTCAAAAAGTAAATATTTAAAAAATATATTATGTTTATCATAAACTATTGTGCCTAAGATACTTACCTACCAAAAATAATATAAAGATGTTCACAGATTCGGTAGATATAAATGGATTAATTTTTATCAGTGACCTTGCTCGAGAAGTTGCAAAACACAAGTGACCCTACCGTACCTATAACATCAGTGAAACCACAGACCACTAATAACTAGACGTTTCACGTAGGTAGCTCAAGGTCAAATTAAACTTAATGTCATTTGTAGTACCGATACTAATCTTCAGATGTCGCTTCACTCTGTCCCTACTTTTACTCTGCAGTTTAGGTTTAGAACACAACTAAGAAAAGAATTATAATTGTCAATCGCCAATTGTCATATTAGCGTCTATATTTTGATTTTGTTAGTGTTAGACTGTTAGTTTGTAAATTACAAAACAAATCACCTACCTCAGTGATCTACGTTTTAAATGTTCCTGGCGGTGTTCAAATAGTATTTTGCAGATTAATAATAATCAGTTAAATATGGTTTTTCACAATAAATGTTGTATCCTACAATGTACTAATTCGTCATTAATTAGACATACCTTTCCAAATCCACGATGAAGACATTACACGATTTAGGAAGTGGCTTAGTGTTATAAATAATCCTAATTTAGATGATGAATGCTAGTACAGTTTATAAAACAAAACGAATCTGCCACAGACACTTTGAAGATAAGTTTGTTTCTTCATGGAGTCATAAATTGTATAAAAATGCAATTCCTAGCTTACATTTGTATGGTGAGTCCAATAAATATTTGATATTAGAGAACAAATAACTGATTGATGAACTTAAATCTGCAACTTCTTTCCTTGAGTTCCGTAAAAGAACAAAATCCTATCTATCTGAAAGATCATATTATTCAGTAGAAGAGTTTCTTAACGAATAGTGTTATGTACAAGTAACTAAACAATTTGTATAAATATATATTTGAGTATCACATGCAGAAACTTGTATTAAAATGTATTAGTTCGTAAGGATTTATTATGCAATTTATTTAAATTTTGCAATACATTGTGTATTTTATTATTTTTTATTTTGTGATATTGACGATTTATGTAATTTCAGTAAATTTTAAATTGCTATTTTTCTGACTTTTTTGTAAGCTTTTTCCATAAAATTGTACAATTTTCAGTTATAATAGCATATTTTTATTCTATATTAAATTACAAAGTTGTTTTACAAGTATTAAATAAATAAATAAATTACATTTTGTTTTATTTTTCCTAAATTGTATTGTGTTTATTTGAAATTAAAAATGTCGCATTTTTTTTTCAAATATACCAAATTATATTTAAAAATTTTAAACTTTATTTAAATTTTCCCACCAAAATTAAAATTTGAATTTCCCGCGTAATTTCTCGCTTGAATTAGTTCCGATACTAATCTTATGGAGCGCTGAATTTCATATCCAACTAAAGTATTGTCGTGGAACATCTAGGGAGGTAGGTGATCTGTGAGTGAAACGTAATAAAGCAGCTCGCTGTTGTTAAAGACTGCTGTCACAAGTATTAAAGATACCAAATAATAGAGGGCAAGCCCACATTTCAAAAGTAATAGGTTTTTATGATAATGTTCTGCACTTGCCCCGATAATGCACTTGCCCCATCTTACCTTATATAATATTATATATATATATATATATATATATATATATATATATATATATATACATATATATACATACATATATATATATATATTTATATATATATATATATATATATATATATATATTTGTATATATATATATATATATATATATATATATATATA